ATAAAGATGGACAGAGGAGACAGCTCCAGCCAGTTCATGCCCCTGCCAGCTTTTGTTGCTCCCTTCTCCCTGTTTTATAGTGATAGTATGGTGCTATAGGTTAATATTTACTGCTTGGGTATTAGAGGTTATTGGTCAGTTGTTATGGATAATGTGCCCTGCTTGCTTCATCACAACATTTTTGATTGTTTGGGGCAACTGGGGTTGTATGCAGATGGTATGAGGGCAAGCAAGCAAGAGCCTCCCTGTCTGGGTTGTTAAAAGAATACCCATACAAGGGAGCTGGGGCAGGGTCATAGTCTGACTTAGCCTGGGGCCCTGTTGGCCTGGCCTTGCCCTCAGGTGGCAGGGACTCATGGAGGGTGTATGTTTGTGTGGTCTCTACAGGACTCCCACACCTAATAGAACCTTCAGCAGCTGCTAAAAGGGTTGGTGGTGGTTACTGGGAGGCCGTCAGATCTCTCGATGCAACGGATCCAATTTCTGCAGTGCTGGGCCAGGGACTCTGCTGTAACCAATAAAGCTGTAGCCTTTTCTTCCAAAAGAGCTGTCTGCTGTCTGCTTTGTATGTAGGTTTAGACAGCCTGGGGCCTGCTCAGCACTAGGCTAACAAATATGGTCTGCCAGGTACTTAAGAATATTTTCTAGTGCTATTCTGATATGTCCTCCAGTTTCCTGACTTTTCTTTTCCATTCTTATGAAAGAGGCTTCTGTGTTTTTTTCCTGCCTCCTTACAAAGACACTCTAGAGTTTCTTTCAAATTTCTGTATGTGATGTTTTGTCATAGTTGCCTCACTTGCTGTGAGGTAAGCCAAGGATGCTCTGCTTTTTTCTTTCTCCCTGTGGCACATTTCTCCAGCCCTCTGCCATGTGAAAAAAACTCATCAAAAGGAGTTGGCTCATGAAGCTGAGGAGGCTGCCTTCTGGGTCCTGATAGGTTGTCGTCTTCTCTTTTTAAAAAGGGAAATCTTTTTATTAATAAAGAAATAATTTAGGCCCTATCATAACCACTTCTGATTGCATCAGAATTGAACCACAAGAATATGAGGTGTTTTTACATGCTCCCCTTAGACTATAATCCTGCATTCTCTCTCTTCAACATCCAGAAGGGCCAAGGTGGACATGTGGTCTGTGGATACATTTCTATTTCACATTTTCATTGGCCTCCAAAGATTTCTTTGCCACTAAAATAGCGGTGGCAAGAAGCAGGTGCACATGTCAGTTGCTTCCAGGGGTTGGGACTTGGGCTGTGTAGAGGAAAGTGTTGGTGGTCCCTGCATTAGAGTGTGTAGCATATCTCACTGATTACTTACTGTCAAGCATATCATAAGGCCTATTCAGTCATTAGTTCAGCATGTGGGCCCATAGGAGAGTGTGTTAACCTTGTTCCTTCCATCCTCAAACATGTGAAAGCACCAGTCTGAAGGCCAGGACACTGCTCAGTCCAACTAGCCTGTCCATGAGAATCAGAACCTGCATTTTTTTCAGGTCCTGACTCACGTCAGTGTCTACACAGGTAGAACATCCTCTCTCTCTCTCTCTCTCTCTCTCTCTCTCTGGACTTGGAGGTAGCATGTTTCTTACATCACTCTGCATGCTTAGCAAACAACTGCACAAGATTCTCGGAGTCTGAGGAAGTATAGACAACCGGGAAGGCTGCACACTATCAGAGAAATGATTATACAGTACAAGACAGAGCATACATACATTTCAGCTACCTTATAACCTGGGTAAGCACAATCATGTCATACCATCTCTCTGTCTTTCTTGTGTGCTGTCTCAGTTGCTGAGGTTAGCTACCATCATCACACTTCTCCACTTGACTCTATCTGTGTGTGTTACTTGTTATTTCTCAAGATCCAGCCAGTCTCTCGGATGTTACTCATCCAAGAAATCCACCTTTTGTCTTTTCCATGTTAACCATCAATTTTCCCTTCAATAATGTATTGCAGTATATTATATTCGTAATTATGTGTCCAAGATACAAGAGCTTGTGTTTCTTTATAACTATTTATTTTTGCTTTTCTGTCTGAACTACATTTTCATTCTTTTTTTTTTATTCATAGGATATGAAGAATTCTTTTGTGCATCCACATTTCAAAAACATTGATTCTGTTAAATATCTCCTTCTTACTACTGTGTTTTCCTGAAAATAAGACAGGGTCTTATATTCATTTTTGCTCCAAAAATGCATTAGGGCTTATTTTCAGGGGATGTGTTTTTTCCCCCCATGTTCAACAATCAAGATTTATTCAAATGCAGTCATGTCATTTTCTTCTGGTTGCTGCACGATGGTGGAGGGCGGGCTTTCACTTAACTAGGACTTATTTTTGAGGTAGGGCTTATATTACGAGCATCCTGAAAAATCATACTAGGGCTTATTTTCAGGTTAGGTCTTATTTTTGGGGAAACAGGGTAGTCCAAACATCACATCTATATAGGAAGCTTACCATATTCAACATTTTTATATCCTCAGAATTAAAAATATATTAAGCTGTTGTTACACAACACTTTCTTCAGCTGCATAAAAGTTGTTCTAGCCATCACAGGTTTTCACTTTATTTCTATACTGTATCTATGTGGTTGCTAATTCATTGACCCAGCTACATGTATTAGTCTGTGTGGTGTATATATGAGTTGTTACTCATAATATTTATTTTTATGTTATCCACAATTAGAGATGGGCATGTTCGGCAGTTCATGTTGGTTCATTTTGCGGCCAAACAGGTGTTTTGTGCTTCCCAGCTCTGCCTCCTCCACTGGGCACCCACTGAGAAGCAGCACCCCAGATTCCCTGTCTCACCTCCTCTGAGCACTGCCGTTGAGTGGGCAGCCACCAAAGGAGGCAGGGCTGGGAAATGCTGAACATCTGTTTGGCCAAAAGATGAACTATCACAAACCGCTGAACCAGTGATTCATGCCCATTTCTATCCATGATTATTACCACTGATTTTGGGTAGGTTTTTTTGACATTGATTGACAATCCCATTATTTATTTTATTTATTTAAAATATTTATATGCCACCTTTCTCCTAAAGAATCCAAGGTGACTTAAAGTATTAAAAGTAAGAAAGTTAGAAGCTAGAATAATACATTATTATAATACTTTAAAAGAATTAGACAAATATAATAAAACTTATAAGAGCAATACTAAAAGCACAGGTAAAACAGCCGAATGCAACAATCCCTTTAAAAAATCCCCTCGATCAATGAGTCATTTAAAGGAAAGCCTGCTTGAAGAGAAAGCGTAATATAGTATTTTAGGTAGCTTGGACCCAGGCCGTCCAGGACTTTAAAGGTTAAAATCAGCACTTTGAATTGTGCCCCAAAACAGATCAGCAGCCAGTGCAGTACCATGCTGTCACTTTAGTCTGCGACCCAATCTAACATTATCTGAAGGTCATATGAGCTTCCAGCTATCAGGATGGTGTCATCAGTGTATCTTATATTATTTAAGATTATACCATTTGCTTTAATGCACTCAAATCTGTCAGAAAAACCTTTTAGATAACATTTTCAGAATAAACATTAAACAAAATTGGCAATAAGATACATCCTTTGTGGATTTCTCTTCTAATTCCTACTTCATTAGTTAATTATCCATCAATTTTCATTTTAGTCATTTGTTACCAGTTCTTTATTATATGCTTTCCATCGATATGTAGTTGACATAATATTTCTATGAATGTATGATGCTGAATTCTATCAAACACTTTTTCTAAGTCAATTATATATGTCTTGTTGTCCATGCAAGCACTTTCCCACTTGCTGAAAGTTCCTTTCTATCAAACTGCATGAATAATGCTGGAGGGAATGTGAAATAATTTTTCAGCACATCACTACTTATCAAGTTCTTCGAGTATATACGTTTTCTAGGAATGGAGACATTTTAAAGCACTGCCTGCCATGCTTTACTGGAAGTATGCATCACTGGAAGGTAGCATATAATTGACATGACAAACCGCAAAGTGGGAAGGCTTGCATGGTGGTAAAGCAATTGTGACGATGTGCATATGTTATTAGGTTGAAACTAAGGATGTAAATCCAGATTTGGTTCATTTTCTTGCAGTAAATGAAAACATACACACATGCACACATTTCCTTACTATGAGAAAGCAATTATTTTATCAGAGAAATGTTATGTACTTGTATATTCTTTGTTGAACGAGGGGACATTAAATGTTAAAAATGTCACCTTTCATGAACTAACTATAGTAGCACTTGATGGATTTCTCTGTCTTTTCTTCTTTTTTTATCAATCTGCCTTTCCTTTTGTGTTTGCTAAGTGTATTGCTTAGTTTCTCAAAAGGTAGACACTAGTTTTGCACTGAGATATTTTGTGCAAAATGTGGAAAACAAAACAAGCTTTTCCTTTTTTTTTTCTTTTCTTTTTTTCCCTAATGCTTACACTGGTGGTTACAGGTTCTCCAGGGATTGGAAAACACTTGACAGGGTTTTTCATCATGTTGAGACAGACACTTAATTAAACAAAACCAAGAAAGTAGCAAGAATCTTCCCCCAGATTGATATACTGTGCTTCTATCCCACACATCTAGTGGCAAACCACTATTCTGGGAGGCTTACAAAAGAACATATAATGTTCAACAAAACGTTGAAACAAACAAAATGTTCAAACCAAAGTAACATGTAATAGTGACAGAACAAAGATCATAATCATAAAATAATATAGCAAACCCCCAGATGTTGACAATAAATCAATTAAAATGCATAAAATGGGTTGGAACATCTCTAAGAAGAGGATGATGGGCCTGAATGTCTGTTGTTTTACCTGCTTCCTGAAGGAAAGGAGGGAGGGAGCTTGGCATACATCCTGAGGCAGATCCCCAGTGCAAGCCCACTGCCTGTTTATAATTCCTTGGGTTGAATTTATTGAATAAATGTGTTGCTGGAGTGTTAAAGGATGCATGCTTCTGACTAGCACATTCTTCGTTGTGTTGTATTATATTTCATTGTGTTTCAGACTCTGTACTTCTTTGCAGGTTCAGTCCATTTTCGCATTCCCGAATCCTCTCCAGCTGGCACGGTCATTGGAAGTGTAAAAGCTTCTGATGCAGACATTGGAAGAAATGCAGAACTTGAATATCGCATTGTCGACGGTGATGGAAGAGATATGTTTGATATTATTACCCAGAAGGACACACAGGAAGGCGTTATAACTGTGCGGAAGGTTTGCATTATCAGAATTCTATATATTATTTATTTATTTAAAATATTTGTATCCTGCCTTTCTCCTTAAGAACAACCGAAGGCAGCTTACATCATTAAAAATATTTAAAAGCTAAACAGGGTAGATATACAATATTATGCAAAAAGAATTAAACAAGTATTATATTAAATTGGTAACGAAGGTCAAGATTAAACAGCATTTAAAACAGAGGACAACAATCCATTAAAAACCCAGTTGAATGCTTGCACATGTGTGCGTACAAACACACACACATAGAGGTATGTGCATCCAAACAACTTTGAGAATATATATGTTCTATAGCAATAGAGACATTGAAAAGCAGTTTTTGACATCAGCACTTAAAGAGGGAAGGATTATGCATTATTTTTGATTGATAAACTGAAAACTGAATTATTTAACAAACTCATTCATCACATCTATTGAGTGCCTTCTTTCTGTTTGTTTTCAGCCCCATGATAAACATTCTCCAACACAGACTAAATACGTACAAACATGTTTAAAGTCTGAAGCCCATTTCATGAACTATTAAACTTGAGCATTCACGTAGTCCAGGTTTCTGCTGGGCTGAACATCCAATAGTTTAGATTTAGACTGGGTAGAAGTTTCCCCCTGCCCTCAACATCTCCTTTTTCCCAGCAACAGTGGCTGCTGTTTCATCCCTTGAGCATTGTCTGGGGGCTGTTCAACAATGGATGCAGGTGAATGGACTGAGGCTGAATCCGGGCAAGATGGAGGTCCTTCGGGCGGGTGCAAGGTCGGGCAAGACAGAAGTCCTTCATCAGTGGTCTGGAAGACTCTCTTTCCTTTGGGGGGGAGGCTGATTCTTACCACCAAGAGTGAGGTTTGCAGCTTGGGTGTACATCAGGACCCGGTGCTCACCATGGAGATCCAGGTGTCATCAGTGGTCTGTTCCGCACATTTCAACCTTCGGCAACTGTGTCTCTATCTCGATGTGTCTCCCAACTGTGTCTCTATCTTGATGTGGGGGTGCTCACCACTTTGGTCCATGCACTCATAGTCTCAAGATTAGACTACTGTAATGCGCTCTAAGTGGGGCTGCCTTTGAGACTTATATGGAAACTTCAGATGGTACAAAATGCGGTGGCCAAACTTCTTACAGGGGTGGAAAGGTACCAACATATTTCCCCCATGCTGGCCGCCTTGCATTGGCTGCCCATTCATTTCCGCATTGATTTCAAAGTTCTTAAGATTACATATAAAGACCTTCTCCCACCCAGTTCTGCCAGAGTCACTCATTCCAGCCAGGCCGGGTGGCTGAGGGGCCTAACGCCGAGGGAGGTCCAGAAGGAAAGAACGAGGAACCAGGCCTTCTCAGCACTGGCCCCTCACCTCTGGAACAACTTGCCCTTGGAGATCTGCCTGGCTCCTCCTCTGGGTGTTTTCAGAAGCAAACTCAAGACCTGGCTGTTGTATCTTAAATTCACACCTTACAATCTTGGATTTATAGTGCATTTTTATTGGCTTAACTGTTTTTACATTTGTAATGCCGCCCAGAGTAGACCTTTGGTCTAGATGGGAGGGGTAGAAATCCAATAAAACAAATAAATTAAAAAAAGCCCAGACGGTGAATACTCAAAGTTTTCTTAATTTTTGAGTTAGATAAATTTGGGGGGCGGACCTTATAACCGGAAAAATATGTTACTTGTTTTCTAAAAAGATAGATGGGTTGGCATTCCTGTTTAACTGAGCTGCAGTGTAGATGCTGCTGCTGTCCCTGGCAGTGAACATTATTTTTGTCCCCATCCCAATATAAATAGTGGTTCACGTAGGAATGATGCCATGATGCTACATCTAACATGATGAAGTAATCAGTGTTGGACTTGTGATGATAAAGATACCGTTGCAAATGAGGGCAAGTGGAAGTCAAAACATTTTAGATATAAAGACAAGCAATCTGGAGTGCCAGCTTGCCAAAGAAGATGTATTTTTGGTCAAACACAGTTGTGAGAAAATGGTTAGCAGATTTGCTTCCAGGCTGATTTAGTTCCTTGCGGTAATTATTAGTTCCCTCCATGCACACACGGACAGGGCAGGGGAGAAATAAATACCTTGGTTACATATCCTGAATTTTGAAAAGCTTCTAAACCCTGTTTTCAGACAGATGACAACTAATTTGAGGGCTCCCCCTTAGCATTTGAAAGAGACATTATTGCCGTGTAGGCCCATCATCTGAGAATATATCAGAGATATTATTTCCTATGTAAGACATGATGGAGAGGGAAAAGTAATATGAGGAAAAAAATACTTGTTGCCAGTATAACATGACTTCAGTTGTAAACAGAAGTCTTGAGTACCAATAGAGTCTGGCCTTTTTTTAAAGCAATAACTTTAACAGTTTTAGGGAAAATAGATTCAGAATTGCCTCTAGAATCCATTTTTGTATCTCTCTGTTATACACTGCATACTAATGGAGATCTAATCCTATATCAGACAAGCTGCACTTTCTCTTGGCCTTTTCGTTCCTTGCAAATCATTAATTAGCAAACACTTCTCGTCTGCAGTTGCAGAGAAATTGAAGAATGGAATCTCTTGTCTATCCAAAAAAAGAAAAAAAAGAAAGAAAAACATCTCATAACTGCAAACTTTTCATCTTTTCTGTTTTGAAAGTATTGGTGACAAAATGTCATGTATATTTTGCATAAAATTCTCTGATGTTGGATTCATGAAATTCAATGTAAATGAGCCCAGGTTAAGCACGTTATTTTTGACACCGGAGTTTAGACATTCTCTCTTTTTAAAAAGTTAAAGAAATTTAGGTCTTGGTACAGTTTGATCAATTTTGTAAACCTTAAGTCACAGAAAGTGAACCAGCATATGTTTATATGTGTACATGTGTGTGTGTGTGTGTGCCTGTATGCCCCTTGTAGGGGTTAATATTCTGAAATATCAGTTCATGCTGCTGATGTCCTATGAAAAATATTCAAAATGCATTCGAAATTGGGAGAAAGCTAGAACCCTTACTTAGTTTTCTATTTGAATTTTTACACATTAGAGGAAGTATTCAGTAATGCATTCTACTACCTTCAATTTCAGGGTACAGGGACCTGACTCATAAAAAAAATCAATATTATTCAGTCAAATCAATCTTGATTGTACGGTGACAGACCCAATGAAGTAAATATTATTGTCAGCATCACTACTCTCAAAGTACACTATCCAGGAAGATTTTTTTTGCCATTGTTTGGATCGCTTAGTCCTAAGTCCTCCATGGCTGTGTCCAGATCTAAACCCAGGTGTATTGAATTCAAGCCCAGTGTAGCAATGGAGATCCAGAAATAGAAACAACCTTTCACCAGCATAGCTCATGTGGATGTAGTTTCATAGTTTATTTCAAGGACCATTCAATCCAGTGGCTGGGGAGGGAAAAGAGTTGCATTACTTGATTTTTCTAAGAATGTTTCAAATGGGAAAAAATGAGAGTTTCCAAAAAACAAAACAAAATAATAAAACCAAAACAAAGTAAACACAATGTGGGGAGAAATTGGAGCTGTTAGATTTGTTGATTTAGGCCCAAAGATTTGAGTCCTGGACTCGTTAAAGCTTATGCTTGAATCCTGTGCATTCAACCATGTTAAAGATAAATTAGGGTTGCTTTTTCTTTATTATGAAAGGTTCTTCATCTTTGAAATATATATAGCAAGTAGATACTCTTGCAGTTTTGAATTGTTAGATTTTCTCTACAGTGGTGCCTCGCTTAACGACGATAATGCATTCCAGGAAAATCGCTGTTAAGTGGAAATGTCATAAAGCGAAATTAAAAAACACATTGAAACGCATTGAAAACCGTTCAATACGTTCCAATGGGCTAAAAACTCGCCGTCCAGCAAAGACCCTCCATAGAGCAGCAATTTTTGGTGCCTGTATAGTGAGGAATCCATCCCTAAGCACAGCGGGGAGACATTTTAAGCACCCAGCGGCCATTTTGAAAACCCGACGATCAGCTGTTTTTGATCGTCGTAAAGTGAAAATCGGTTCCCGAGGCAGGGAACCGATCATTGCTAAGCGAAATTCCCCCATGTAGACCATCGTTTTGAGATCGCAATTGCGATCGCAAAAACATCATCATAAAGCGGATTCATCATAATGTGGGGCAATCGTTAAGCAGGGCACAACTGTATCTGCACAGCAGAAGTACACAGATTCACAGAGAAGAATAGCTTCACGTTCGTAAGAGTAGTCCGCCCCTTTTCTCATTATCTGGCACTTGTGGTCTCAGTACCTCACTCTGAAACATTTATAAGAGAAATAATTTTAGTTACAATTAAACAGATAAAACAACCACCTGCAAATATGACTGATTTACAGCAACAGACCGTAACAGACTCTGGAAAGGGTTTTAAAAAGTTCTCTTTCAAATTAGAGGCAGGAAGGAACTATTGGTTAGTTGTGACTAGATTGAGTCATCCCAGACAGAAAGGTTTCCCCAAGCTACAACTTCTACAGGCAGCATGTGAAGTTGTAAAAAAACAAAACAAAATCCCAACAGAGACAGCTGTACTTACTGAATTTCATCAGTGTGAATGGGTGACATTTTCATTTGAGTTCACTTCTGAAGAATTTACCAGAATTTGTAAATGAAATATATGGAATGTGGGAAGAAAAATTTGAGGTTTAAAAATATACATGCAGGGAAAAGGTGAAATTGACATATTTTCCTGTCCCCGTTAACTTTGATTGAATCGGCTAAATGAGGTTGTTTTTAGTGTTGATTTGTCCTCTTCTAGCTTCTCATGACAAAAGGTGAGTCCTGATACTCAGTCTGCAACACCAGAATACATGCTAATTAATATATTCTGAAATATTTCTGTATTCTGTTCAGCACCTGGCATACTGTTGACATTAAATAAATTGCATACTATCCCACTTTGCACACTGGTCTACTTATTATGTTCACCAATAAAATCCTGTTTGACCAATATCTTATTATTTACTCTCACAAGTGTAATGCAAACAGTATA